AACATATCCATCCTCTATTGTAGTAGTGTACGTGTGTGTGTGTGTGTGTGTGTGTGTGAAAAACAGTTAAAATCCAGTCATCAGGTATTCTGTTTATAGGACAGTTTTATTACCTGCCATCCTCATGTTGTGTTAGATCTCTAGATGCATTCTTTCTATGTATCTGCCAGTACTTTCATACTATGACCGAGGTCTCCCCCACTGTCCTGCCTCCACAGCTCTGATAACAAATGCTTTATTCTCTTTCTTTAGTGAGTTTTCTGGCAGCCTCCTGCTGATGCCCGAGGTGTTAGCCTTCAGGGGTCACTGGTAGGTTGAGGTTGAAGTAATGATTGCCTACAAAACTAAAAGTATCGATGGCAGGGTTGGTCTGTTGTATCTCTCTCCGACCCAATAAATTCATCTGCTTTAAGCAGACTTGTTCGCCTCTGAAATCCCGGCATACCTTCTATCATTTGTATCTTAACATCATTGGCAGTTTTATCTTGCTTTGCCAGAGATTTTAAATGGGGGGAGGGGGCATTTAGATCCTCCATTGTCTGAGAGGAAAGGTCCCGCTCCTTGCCTGGCTCTGGCTCTTACTCTTTTGGGTGGATTTCATTTCTGTTGCTTCTGCTCCTCCGTCTGTCTTCCAGGATGATGAGCGATAACAGAGTGGAGCTGTTTCACTAATTAGGTCATCCTGAGCCAGAGCACACGGTGTCTAATGCTCTCTTTTCTCTTCAACAGTTCCTGGGTACAGACTCTTGTTCAGGTGAACAGGGTGTTGGTTTCCTGGATGGCTGTCCACCGTGTTCTCTCCTCTGAGGGTGCTGATGGTTGGATACCTGGGTTGCTGATGTGCAGTGAATGAGGCAGCAGCTTGTGCCAAGTTTGGAATCAGAGGACTCTTGTGCCATGGCCTGCAGCCCTCTGCAGGGGTAGACCCAGGCAACTGTGAGACTTCAGGGAATGCAGGGGGAAGAAAACATCAAAAGCCAGACTCCCAGGGCTCAGTTATGCTACCGCTGATGCCTGAAGACACAGCTTCCACATCCATAAGGCCTGGGGCCCTGAACCCTGCAGAGGTGCATCCCTCAGAGACATAGAGCCTACATTCTGCAGATTTGAGTTACAAACATGCCTTGTCTTCCCACCAGTGGTGGGAGTAGGACTAAGAGTGCTCCTCACCCCAGGAGCACTGGGGATCACTGGTCGTCACTGGCTGGGGGTAGACAGAGGGAGGCAGATTGGAAAGGGCAAGGGTACCCATGCCAGATCCTTAAGAATCACACAGATGCACTGTGACTTTCAGGATCCAAGAGAACAAAAAGAGTTCATCATCTTCAAATTATTTAATGCAGAAAATGTCAAACATACACAAAATCAAACAGGAGTGAAAGGAAACCCTGTGGACCTGTCCCTTCTCCATGGTTTTCAGCACCAGTCAGCGGCAAGGCCACACTGGCATTGGATGTTGTGTTTGCTGTGCACTGGTTTGGCTCATTTGCCCCACATGCTCAAAGGCTGGTGTGCAGGACACCTCTGTGATGCTGATGCCACCCAGGTCCTTGAGGGATCATGGTCACTCCTGTTTCTGAGACTTCTTTTCCTGCCTCAGAGAGCATCTTTCAAACTGATATTTTTGCAACATGGCCTCTTTTCAAATGTATCTGGTATCAGCCATTACTAACTCCAAACAGACAAAACAGTGTTGGCATTCATCTAGTATGAGAGTTTACTTTTATATTAGTCATGGTAAAATCATTTTTTTATGAGAAGAAGCCACGCAGCTGCTGTTATGAGTGTTAAGGTTTGAATTTTAATAGCAGTGACTGTGTTGCAATTCCATGCATCAAGAGGTTCTGTTTGGATGAACAATACTGAGAAATCACAGAGTCACATAGGTAAGCTGTTGCCAATAGCAACAGGTTTGTTTTAATCTTGTTTTTATCCGTTCACCTTGTGATCTCAAGAGTCTCTTCAATTAAATTGATCCACATGCTTCAAGTTTGCTGAAACTATGAGTTTTTCTTTCAGAGTTGAATCTTTGCTCTTACAGACAGTTTTTCTGACAAATATAGAAAGCATGCAGGAGAAACCAAAGTACAAGTTGTGTCTGACAGATATAGGTGACTACACTTTGTGTTACCATGGACATGGATGTTAGTGGGTACCTGGGCAGGGGCACTGCTGCGTCGTTAGGAGTACAAATTTGAAATTCTAAGAACAGTACATCCTGGTTGAAATCATTCCCAGGACTTTTAGAGGTAAGCACATTCATGTTGTAGTTTAACCTTGGAAAGCTGAACAGGCCACATCCATTCGAAGTCTCTGAAGAGTTAAAATTCTGTCAGCAATCATTTGAATGTGTTGACTTTTTTTTAAGATTTATTTATGTTTATTACAAAGTCAGATATACAGAGAGGAGGAGAGACAGAGAGGAAGATCTTCTATCCGATGATTCACGCCTCAAGTGACCCCAACGGCCGGCACTGTGCTGATCCGAAGCCGGGAACCAGGAACCTCTTCTGGGTTTCCCACATGGGTGCAGGGTCCCAAAGCTTTGGGCCGTCCTTGACTGCTTTCCCAGGTCACAAGCAGGGAGCTGGATGGGAAGTGTGGAGTCACTGGGATTAGAACCAGCGCACATATGGGATCTTGGAGCATTCAAGGCGAGGACTTTAGTCACTAGGCCATGCCGCTCTGGGCCTGAATGTGTTGACTTTTGTTAACATCTTAAAATACAAGGAAAAATAAATTTTGGAATAAAACATTTGCCAAAACCCTGAAGTATCTGCACAGCATTTCAGGGTCATGGAGAACTTCATCTGAAATCCATGGTATTATCTTAAGTGAGTTTTGGAGAATCTGAGTTTTCAGATACTCTGTAGCTCAATCCTGTTTATCATGAGAGTCATTAATCCAACCAGTTACAGAATGCAGCCCTGCAGAGAGCAGCTACATCCTGATGGCACTGGCTCTCCCTTTTTCCCTAGGTGAGTTTGAAGGTAAGGGGTGGATATTTCCTGTCATCGTAGTGCATTATCCTTTGATAACCAATTGCTCTCCCTCCCTTTAAACTTTACCACTTATCTACTTCATATTCACATCATAACTTTGTGCACAGCTTTTGTTCTCCTCTTGTCTCTCTGGTTGCCCATTTTCTTACTAGCACATTAAAAAAAAAAGTGTCTCCAACTTCATGATGAACTCAGCCTGTTACCCTCCACCACGACACACTCCTCGGAGTTTATCTCTTGACAGTATATCTCTCTCGGAGACTCCTTTTTTTAGGCTTCTTCCTGCTCTGATCATTGTGGAATTCCCTTTTCCTAATCTCCAGATTTGGTCCAAAACTTTATTTCTGGTGTCTTGGGTTTCATCCTTGTTTCCTGCAGGTGCCAGGGAGAATGCACATGGGGAAGAGCTCTTGAAAGCCTTAACAGACTGGGCAATGCCTTTCTTGGCCTTCATGCTTGGATGGGTTCTTTTCTACTCTGGGAAATTTCTGTGTCATTTTGCTTTGGAACTTTTCTCCACCCCACTCAACCTGTTTCCTCTTGATAAGATTTTTTGCTTGCTTGATCAATAGAATTCTCCCAGCCTTATCCTTTGCGGCATGCATGATTTCTGTCCTAAGTGTCATCTGTGTGATTTTTATCAACAAATTCCATCACCCATTTATAAATAATTATGTCATAACTCATAGTTTAATTTCCATATTGCTCTCTCTTTTATTTTTTTTGTGCAGGGGCGTCTTCGTTTTTAAGAAGTCATTGTTTATTCCTGTCATTGACTTGCCTTTTGCATCATCTTGGGTGTGTGCCCTTGCCTGTGCATGTCTCATGCTCAAGGCTGAATTCATCCATCTCATGATTCTGAGGTCTCTACTGAGAGAGCTTTCCTGGGACTCTGCTCTGTGGGCTACCTGCTGGGGTTCCCTGGTTGCTAGGGTGAGGAGAGTGTCACTCTGCTGCAAACCTTCCCTCCCACCTCCCCTCACCCCCACTCTTCCCGTTCTATTTTCTTGAGACAACTTATTTTTATTTGCATGTAGAATTATGTTTCAAGGGCAACCAGCATTTTGGTTGAGTTGAATGTAGCCAGACACTCAGACATGGAAATGATTGTCAGCACCAAGAATTATAGCACAGCACACAGGGTCATCCTGGGAAATACCGGGGTTCATACTGAGCTAGAGGGAGTGAGGAAAGTATGAACAAGAGACTTTTTGTGTTTTCCATGGGAGAGAACAGGCACAGCCATGTTATCACTGTTAGGATCAGCTGCCTTGATGGATTGGAGTAGGCTCTGAGGCATTGGGGTGTTGTCAGTTTTCTGATACCTGGCCCAGGGTGATGATGACAGGTGGAGAATGACCTTGGATATTGAGGGTTCCTTGGGGGAGATAGTGTGTGTGTGTGTGTGTGTGTGTGTGCGTTTTCTCTTTATACAAGTTGGTAACCACGGGCTGCAGGGGGGTTTGAACATGGGCAGAGGAACAAGCTGGGTGCCTTTGCTTAAAGTTATACTCAATTCTGCCTCCCTCTTTGCTGGCACCGAGTTTCTCCATGCACCTGTATCTTCAGTCGTCAGAAATACAGGATTTTTTTTAAACACTAGCCAAATGTTGGGCCCCATTCAAGAGGTTGGAATGAGGACTTTGTACACAGGAGGTCCCGATGGGACTGATAGGGATAGCGTGAGCTTCTTCCCACTCTGGGTCCCCTCCAAGTACATTAGGAGTTCTCTTCTACTGATATCCTAAGTTATTTTCAAGTTCCACTTTGGTTAAGCACTTTATCTTGTTTACTTCACAGTTCATGAGGAATGTGGTAGATGCAGGCCCTTTCAAGCTGTGCTCTGAGAGGATTCCCAGGAGAGCTGTGGTGGTTCTCTCAGGCACAGACATGCCCCAACTCCGGTCTCTGCTGCTCTGACCGCGACTGTGACAAAACTTAGATGAAAAGTCCCTATCCTGGGAGCACTGGCTCACAAAATCCTCTTTCCTGTTTTAGTGCTGACGAGCGGTTTGATGCCACATTCCACACCAATGTTCTGGTGAATTCCTCTGGGCATTGCCAATATCTCCCTCCAGGTAAGAGCCACATCCTTAGTCCTCTTCCAGCTAGAATGTGTAAGCAGGTGCCCACCTTGGTGGAGTCCAGTTTTGTGCGATGTGCCCGCCTTGCCACTATTCACTGCCACCCCTTCCCTTTCCCTACTTTCCACTTTTCACGTATTTCCTAAGGCTTCTCCTTGGAGTGTCATGTGTTCCTGAAACTCAATCCACAGTTAAATCAAGTTTCTTCCGCTGGATAATTTCCAAGTAAACCAGAAAAGTAGGTCCTTTCCACCCCATTTCAACCCCAACATCTTTCACCCTGACTCAGCACCATGTTTTGGGGTGGAAGATGGTTGGAAATCCAGGAACGCATTCTAAGCGTACACATTCAAGAGTGCCTTTGGGGAAGGCATAAGGTGGGGTGATGTCAAGAGAGAACTCATTTGTTACTTCCTGCAGAAATTTCTCTTTTCTCATTCTCAGCCTCCTAGAGGTTAGCTAGTCCGTGGGGTTGTTTTCCCACCATCCCATCATGGAGACGTGGGCTGCACAGGAACAGTTTTTGTCTGGGGAAACCGATGAAGGTGTCATGATTATGAGGCATATTCACAATATGTTTTGGTGCATATGTAATTATGCCCCATTATCCTTTATCCAGGTCTCATATAAAGACTCAAACTGAGCAATGAATTATGAAGTGTTGCAGTAACTTTAAAATATTATGTTATTGGAATAAAAATTGGGACTTAATGGGTTAGTAGTTGATGGGTTTTTGTTTGTTTTTTAGAAGTCATTTACATTTTTCAGAAGGATCAATTCCTGCACTACAGCTGTTTGCTTTGCTTGATTTTTTCCTGCTCATAGGCAATCAACAGCTGCCTCCATCTCACCACTACCACATGCCCTCTTCCTGCAAACACCCACACCAACCACACATTCGAACCATGGATTCTTGGTACACTTACAGCCACACACCATGTCCTCTCATATGCACCCACACATTTATACATTCTATATATATGTATACACTAATACAGCCTACAATACATATGCACACACATGCATAAATGTACATGTACTCCATGCACTGTCACATGCATATGCATGTGTAAATCACATATATATAATTAAAACACTGCAAGCCAAGCATATAGCAAGCATATATACATATGCATGCATATTTGCTCATACATATCATATGCATATATTTAACACAGCCTCACTTGCTTGCACAAGTAAAAACCAACACATGTAATTCTCCCCACATACACATACACTCACACACACCCTTGCCCATGTCGCAGTACACGGTGACACTGGCTTCACCTGCTCCTCCTGGCAGCTGGCGATAGTATCTCACTGCAGAATCTGTGTGCTAACATTGGAATCAATCACTAATCCTCCATGTGCCTAACCCAAATGTCAATAAATGAAGGAATGAGTGACTGAACCTGACACACACACATCCCTCCTGATAATAGTGTCTGGACAGGTTAGTAAGCCCAGTGTTTTGGGCATGCTCCCCACTCTCCTCCAGCATGTCCTCCTCAGTAAGGCCCCTTGTGAAACTGTGACACATTTGCAGTGCCTGTTTTTTTTGTTTGTTTGTTTGTTTGTTTGTTTTCCAATCAGGCCTATGACTTGCTGCTTCCATTACAAGGGGTATTTTAGAAAATACCCTTCCCTGGTCCTCCATGTAGATGATGGGGCTGAAACTTGCTTTCAGCTGTAGGAGCCATGCCTCTTACCCAAGACCAGCAAGTGCACCAGCTGCCTCTGGCCCCATCTCTGGAAGCTGACCTCAGTGGCCCTGGGAGCCTGGTCAGGACAGGGCACCGCTTTGCCACCACCTGAGGATCTTTATACTGGGCGGTTGCTGAACTGTTCAGCTAGGAGACAGCCTGGCTGTGCCCTCAGGGAGTGCAGTGCTGGTTCTGGGATGCCACTCTGCCTGCTTAGTGAGGCACAGTTTAAAAGGAACATTTGGGGTGTCAACTTTGGCATACAGACTTGGTTATATCGTGCTCCCCCTGCAACTTCTTTCATGTATTTATTTGGAACAGGTTTATTAGGTAGAATTTATATTTCACACATTTTAGGTACATGATCCAACAGCTTTTAGTAAATTTATGGAGTTGTGTAACCATCAGCACTATCTAGTTTTAGTAAATTCTCATCATCCTTCAAAGGTCTCTCTCGCCTGTTTGCACTTACTCCCCACTGCCACTGCTAGTCCCAGGCAGCCACTGATCTGTTTTCCATCTCTCAGTCGGTCACTCTCTCTCTCTCCATCTCTCATTATTTCATAGAAATACAGTCATACAGGGTTTTCTAATTTGTAAACAATGTGGGTTTGGGGGACCCGGCACTTTAATGAGGAAGTTTCTGGAATAATTTCCAGATTCTTATGAGCATTGACGCAATGCTGCTAAGCATATTCAAAGAAATACAAAGTGATGCAATATTTTATTAACATATCTGCTGGTTGGGAATCCTCTTAGCAAGGGTGCTGGGTTCCCTCTTGCTTCACTCTTTATTTAACTTAATAGCAGAAATTTACAGAGCAAAGGTCCTGTCCCATTAGCCCTGGGACTCTCAAGCTATGCCCACCTTTCAACTGGCTCCATCCTTCTCGAGTCTGGAAATGAGCATAAATAAATGGAGTGAGCTCTCCTAGTCCCCTTTTCTACATTACCTAGCTTGAACAGGATGTTTTCAATAGGAAAAGTTGCTTTTATTTAAGTACCCCTTCTTCAACCTAAATGTATCAGTGAGGATTCCATTTTTTATCTGGAACTTGAATGAGTTGATATTCTCTTTTACATGTATTTCTAGATGAAGAATGTTTTTCAAACACTAAACATAAAGAAGATATCTACCTCACCCCTCACCAGCACATGTCTGTGTGCACATGTGCACGCAAGGACACACACAAAACACCTCTTGCAGATTCTTTTTCTACCTAGTTCTAACGCCTTCAGCCTTTTCCCCTTCTTTGAGATTTTTTTTTCTCACATTGTTTACCTGTGTCATTTAAAGTCTCAGGATGCTCATGGTGAATGCACATTTATGTTAGCATTCTCTAAACAGTTCATGGAAAAGAGATTTTTTTAAAAAAAATAAGTTTATTATTTGGACACAAACAACTTTTGAAATCCATGCACATAGTAGCTGTCCAGAAAGCTCAGGAAAGTGCATATTTATGAAAAAAGTGTGCATGAATTTAGAAATAAAAGCTTTTGCTCAATAGAAACTTTCCTTTTAATTCTGCTTTACAGAAACTTTGAATTGCTCTAGCCTTGTACAGAGAGCACTCAGCATTCTTCAATAGAATGTATCCTTATGGCATTTGAATTTGAAAACAAACACTGACACGTTAGCTACAGGTTCATAGAGATTTGCAGAAAGAAGACAGTTTGTTCTGGGCAGGAGTAGCTTGGAGGGTGGGTTTGGCTGAAGGTGCTGCTGTGCCTTGTGAGCACAGCACAGCCAGCTTTGGCTCCTGTCTTCCGAGCGTTCCCATCACTGTGTAGGCATATTCAAGAGCTCCTGCTACATCGATGTGCGCTGGTTCCCCTTTGATGTGCAGCAGTGCAAGCTGAAGTTCGGATCCTGGTCATATGGAGGCTGGTCCTTGGACCTGCAGATGCAGGAGGCGGACATCAGCGGCTATATCCCGAATGGAGAGTGGGACCTTGTGGGTAAGCTCAGGGAAGACATGTGACCGACAGCCTGGGAGAAAGAGGCTTGCTTTCTGTGTGAATGTGTAGAGTTTATGATTTTGCCCTGTTCCTCTCAGGGTGAGCATGTTTTGAACCCTGAAGTTTCCTCATAATGTATGGAGAACAGTAAGCTAAGAAATAGAAAACTGTAAGGAAATGCAGAGCTTTTTCTCTAAGAACCTGAGCCAAGGTGAACAACAAGCCCACACCTGCTGGCTTGGACGCCCTGCATTGTTCAGAGCCACATTGTTCCCCAGATCAGCTTGGGCAGCCCACTGCAGTTACTGGGAACTTAGATTTGATTATTTTCCATTGAAAAACAGCTGATTACATGTATAATGCTGTAAAATTGACAACATAATATTTATAACCTTGTATTTCTACTGGAGTAAGAGATTATCTAACTTCTTATTCAGCTGTCACTGAGATACCCTATTAACAGCTTTATCTTAAACCAGCCAAGGGTTCATTCAGATGCTGATTACCCAGTGTTTTAGGGTTCAACAGATTCGCGGCTGGGACTTGTACAAGGTGTGCACTTTGGCACAAAGGGACTAATTGTGCATTCCAATACTGGCTCCTTTTCTCCTTGTGGAGGCATTCCGGGCAAGAGGAGCGAGAAGTTCTATGAGTGCTGCAAGGAGCCGTACCCGGATGTCACCTACACAGTGACCATGCGCCGTAGGACGCTCTACTACGGCCTCAACCTGCTCATCCCCTGTGTGCTCATCTCAGCCCTGGCACTGCTGGTGTTCTTGCTCCCTGCAGACTCCGGAGAGAAAATATCCCTTGGTAAGTGTCCAGCCATCACTAAACGGTGACTGGGCCTGGAGACCCTTCCTTAGTATCCCGTGTTCAAGGCTCACCGAGGGCAGTGAAGGGGCTCCGGGTTCCTCGCATACAGGCCTCCTGATCCAGTGTAACTCCTGTGTCAGACTCATGTTCTGTAGTTGTGCTGTCCCACAAACCTCATGGTGTTTACCCTGATCCTCTGATCCTGCATGAGTGACAGGGACACCAGAAGGATTCAGCTCAGTTCTACCTAGAGCTGTGCTTTTCCCCCATTCCTTGCTGGAAACTTAGTGAGCAGTGACCTGTTATGCAATGCCAGCTTGATTTCTCTGTTGCTCCACACAGTACAATTGCTTTGGCTCATAGCTGTATGAAGAAAACAGATCATTTTTAGTGCTTGGAAAAAATCATCCTGAAACCCATGTTTCACAAATAAGGGGCTCAGAAACACTAAGAAGCAAGCAACCAAGTAGCAAAGTTCTGAACTCAGGTCTTCTGCCTATTCCTTTTGGTCTGCAATATGAATAATAACTCTCACTAACAGTGTAATGAAATGAAAAGTAGTTTTAGGATATTAGTTATCCATTTTGTATTGATTCTTGCAAGGTTCTGGCTCCTGTGTCTCCCCCAGAGAGTACTTTGGGACTGATTGATGACACTGTCCCCAGAGAATCACCCAAGCCCATATGTACAGGAACTGTGAATTCAGGACATGTCCCAGAAGCACTTTGTCTTGTCTTTTTCTTTTTTCCTGAGAGACTGCTGTGTGTTTCTCTTTCAGGGATAACTGTGTTACTCTCCCTGACTGTCTTCATGCTGCTTGTGGCTGAAATCATGCCTGCAACATCTGATTCAGTGCCTCTGATAGGTAAGGCAGAGCTGGGCTTGTGTCTTAAAGATGCAGAGTTGAGAGAATGTCTAAGCTTTCCCAGCAGGTGCCTCAAGCAGACATGGCCTCCATTCTCTGTCTGAGGAGTTGACTTGCTCTGTAACCACTCACAGTGACCCATGGCCTCTGCCCACCCTGCCCAATCAGGGACAGAAGGTGTCAAGTATTCCAGTTGATTTCCACTTGCAGAAACACCCTTTCCTTTATAATTCCTCCCAGAAATGCCCTCCTTACTGGGGAGCTAAAGACTTCAGGTGTTTTAGCCAGGGTCCTGATTTCATACAAATCCTAGGTGAAAAGAAACTGGACAAAAGGACAAGGAAGCATATGAAGTTATGTTCTGCATTGGGTTGGGATCTGATTTCCTTCCTGCTGCTGTGGGGTTCTTCTAGTCCTGTTCAGCCAATCAGGAGCTCCAACCCAGTGAAGAGCTCCATGCCCTCATGCCTAAGCAGGGAGTGGGGTGCAAGAATGGCCCACATAGATCCGGCATCTCTGCACCCCATGCCCTAATGGTCAGGAAATGTGCCCTGTGGTGTTTGTGGTACCTGGCTTCAGACTCACCCTGTGTATCTGTCTCTCCACAGCCCAGTATTTTGCCAGCACCATGATCATCGTGGGCCTCTCTGTGGTAGTGACAGTGATCGTGCTGCAGTACCACCACCATGACCCTGACGGTGGCAAGATGCCCAAGTGGGTGCGTTCCTCCTTCCCATTCTCCCCGCACCATGAAGCCAGTACCCCTCCCTGAGAAGGCTCCTCCGGAAAGATGTTTCTGTTGTGGTTTACCCGTTATTTACTCTAAAGGCAGTCTGCTGCCTCACTCCCCAGATGCCTACAACAGCAGGGCCGGCCTAGGCTGAAGTGGGAGCCAGGACTTTAATCAGTCTCCCAGGTGGGTGAGTGGCAGGATCCTAAGTCCTCAAGTGGTCACTCTTGCTTCCCAGGGTCTGCACTAGCAGGAAGCTGGAGTCAGGTGCGAGAACCAAGTAGCACAACCTCTGCACTCAGATACGGGACACAGGGATTTTAATCAGCATCTTAGGCACTAGGGTAAACGCCCGCCGTGGTTGCCGCTTGAGAATTCACGGTGGCTCTCTTAAGCACAGAGCTGTCTCACATGGTCTGCCTGTGTGTGCATGGAGCGCAGGCCCAGCTCGTGTGCTCCTTGTGTCCCCAGCATGCCGTGTGGGAACTCAATGTCCCTCTGCAGCCTGTACGCTGGCTGCACGGTATGATGTGCAAACTCAGAGTTGGTACAAACTGACTCCTGGCATGTACCCCACAGAGTACTGAGCAGCAGCTGGGAGCATCACATGAGACACAAAATGGTGAGGCGGAGGGAGCTTCACAGCAGAGTGAGGTGCAAAAAGAAAAAAAAAAAAACAGAACGAGTTATATAAAAACACACATTTAATACATGTAGGAATGTAATTACACCAAATGCCTGTACAGCACAGGTGAATAATCACAGCCAGTTGGAAATAGGATGACATGTAAGGAAACAGAGGAGAAAGTGTAGCGATCCAGAGCCTGAGACCGCACCCCAGCTCTTGCACCCTCCTTCCCCGTAGCTGCTGTGTGCTGGCCTTAGGCCTGGTCTCCAACATATGCTCCTTTGGGCTCCACCTCCTGGAGCTCTGCACCTACCCTTGTTGGCCAATCAGCAAACTTTGATTAAGGACAAGCCAGAGTCTGAGCTTTCCCTATCCCAAGAATAAATCACCAGGCAGGGGAAGGCTGCATATTGCCTGCCTCTCACTTGCACCCTGATCAACCTTCCCAGGTTTCCTGAAACCTCAAACCGGCTAGAAGCTATAAACACCCTATCACTCTGAAAGAGGCAGTAGCTTGCATCCCAATTTAGAAAGAGTTCTGAGAGTAGCTGGCATGCTAAAGGCACTGATAGCGTGAGACACACTGAGTTACCCACCAGACAACAGTGTGTTCATTGCACAGTAATTGACAGTTGCCCCAGAATTAACTCAGAAATGATTATATTTTTAAAAGAGAAAGAAAAAAGCCTTGTAGACTTTCTGCCTTCAGATCCTTTGCCGTGGCATGTCCCTCCTATGAGCGTCATCAAGCCTCAGCTCTGGCTGCCAGCAGGGGCCCAGTGCTGTTGCCTCATGCCCAGAGCACATGGCTTGTTTGCGGAAGTTCTCCCACCTTTTGAAAGGCTGAGATTCATTTGTACACACTCAGCTGCTAACCCAGGTGGGCAAAATGCAGCCCAATTTTGTAAAACCATTTCTTGTTTCTGTGTCTCTGTGTCTTTCTGTCTTTCTTGAAGCAGATGTGTTTCAAAAGTCAAAGTTATGTGGAGTTGTGTCCCTTACCTTGCTTGTTCTTTCAGTGTTGATTTAATGAATTCTTTGTTTTCCCTTCCATCATTTATTTATGCAAATATAGCAATATAAACATTTATTCACATTCTTAAGAGTATTTTGACTGATGGAAAGATAAAGCGATTAAGACACAGTAGCTCATAATCATTTTTAATGTCCTGGTAGCAATTCTCCTGTTCCTGAAAAACCTTAATTAAGAGCATATGCTAATTCTTCACCTCCCAGAGTAAGAGCTTGTTAAAACCAATTGTCTGCAAATGAAGTATAAGGCTTAGGCATCTCTCTCACTTTACATAGCACTCCACATTTTTCTTCCCTTCCTTGTGCATTTAAAGCATCAATAGCCTCCCAGGGACTTTTATTATGATCTGTAGCTATGAAGAAGACACTGCCAGGAGCAGTGGCATTATATGACATTTGCACAGCCAGAAACAAAACTGCAACCTAACGAAGAGGTCACGAGCAGTTTGATAAGTGCCAAGAGGATAATTTCATCTGTGGAGATGCTTTGGCCTCCCAGGCTAATGATTCAACCCGTGAAATTCAAAATAGACTCAGCAGTATAGGCCATATTAGCGATGCGCCTCTGGAGATGAGTACCCCCGCATGGCAGAAGTGCCTGGCACTTCACCGATTTTGCATGCAAAACTGTGTCTCTGGATGCCCGTGTGCTTGCTGCACGACAGCCTCCTTTGGGATCCGGCCAAAGCTTTCTGGTGTCTGTCAAGAGGGGGTTGGGCTAAAGTTTCAAAGAGAACATTTTATAGGGAAGTTTGTAGAAGTCTAAACATATTAAATGCTTTAGCCACTTGCTCATTGTGTGATCTTGTGCCAATTTATTAGTCTTTTTGGAGAAGATTGTTTATTTATTTGCAAGATAAAATAGTGGAGGGAGAAAGAGAGATCTGCTGTTTATTGGTTCATTTCCCCAACCAGGTCTGTGCCAGCCTGAAGCCAAGAATCAAGAACCCCATTCTGCTCCCTACATTGATGGCAGGGTCCCAAGTACTCGGATCATTTTCCAATTCTTTCCTGGGTGGATTACTGAGGAATTAGATGGAAAGCACAGAAGCCAGGACTCAAACCACACTCTGGTATCACATGCCAGCCCAGAAAGCATAACTTAACCCTTCGCATTGCAGTGCCAGCTCCTTATTCTTCTCTTTGAACCTCCATTTGTTTCTGAAATGGGGGAAGTGTGCTCATTGCAAAGGACCCTGAAAGGCCCAGGTGGGGTACCGTGTCTCCTGAAACTAGTATGGAGGCCTCGGGGGGCCAGGTGTCCCTGCCACTTCTTGATGGAGGAAAACCCTTCGGGGTCAGCAGGCCCAGCCTTTGCAGAGTATTCAGGATGTCCCCTCCCACATAAAGTGCTCTGTATAACAAAGGGCTATCTGTACAGGTGCAGTAGAGATCCTATGCAGTCTTCTTTCAATCCCTGTCTGCAGAGAATTGGTTGCAAGTACCTCTGATAAGATGGCATAAAAATGGGGCCCGGCGCGGTGCCGCAGTGGCGCAGTGGTTAAGTTCCTCGCCTTGCACACCCGGGATCCCATATGGGCGCCGGTTCTATCCTGGCAGCCCCGCTTCCCTTCCAGCTCCCTGCCTGTGGCCTGGAAAAGCAGTCCAGGACGGCCCAAAGCTTTGGGACCCTGCACCCGCGTGGGAGACCTGAAAGAGGCTCCTGGCTTCGGATCGGCGTAGTATCAGCTGTTGCGCTCACTTGGGGAGTGAATCATCAGACGGAAGATCTTCCTCTCTGTCTCTCCTCTCTGTATATCTGCCTTTCCAATAAAAAAATAATAAAAATAAATCTTTAAAAAAAAAAGATGGCATAAAAATGATCATCAAGAAAGAAAGCCCCATAGACATGAACTTCGTAGCTTACTATCTGCATGTACAGATGGGAAACACATCACCTGGGTATCCAGTGGAATTAGCTCATAGTCATAAAACCAAATGGAAATGAAGCCAGTGTCTGGAGATTTTCAGTGAAGGGGCTTACTACTCATATACTACTCTGGTTATGGTTGCAAGAAGGCTTTTAAATTCTTCTTCTTCTTCTTCTTCTTCTTCTTATTATTATTATTACTATTTGCCTGAATCGAAGCTTTAACTGCCTCCCTTCTCTCCATGAGAAACTAAAGTGGTGTGAATTTGCTTGGTGACTTTCTTGTAACACTGTAGTCAGAGGTTAGGAAATGAGAATTGTGGTAGCCAGATCCAGCCTGTCAACCATTTTAGTAAATATATCACAAACCAGGCAGGCATGTAAATTGGCATGCTTACACTGTGTGCTGCATCAACAGAGTTGAGTACTTGGAACAAAAACCTTTGGCTCCTGGAACTAAAATATTGAGACTGGTCCTTGACAGAAGGCCTGCCAATCCCTCCTTTTGACTTTTCAAAGTGCATCTGTTCCAGGTAGCTTCTTTTTGGGTCTCCATTGACGCCAGGAGTCAAGAGCTGTGTCTTACTTTCCCACATTGGTGTCGGGCCCATGTACTTGGACCGTCAAGTACTGGAAGCCTCATGCATTAAATGAGAGGATTGTGAGTTTGCTCAGTTTCTCACAGATCTTCAGAGCTACTAAATGTATCAAAGCAATTTCCCTTGTATATATGCTTTAATAACAGAGTATCTGTGGCTCACAGCTTGGCCCTCTCAAATCTCAGATCAGACATTTCTTTCTTCTGTTTCACATTGACATCCTCGGTACTTGCTTCTCATTAGGGCAACTTTCGAAAATGTTGCAAAAGATAATGCTTTCCTGGTAGGAGACACTTGGCGACCTCATATGTAAACTTGTACTGCTTCGAGCCAGTGGTCCACTGGGTGTCTGATGGGCATCCCAGGGTTACCCTTGGAAATGTAATCTCTTCCCTGTGACACTGTGAGTTTGCTGTAGCCTTCTGTAGTGTTTGCCATGCAGGGTGGGGGCCAGGGAGTTAGGTCTGAAAAAGAATCAAGGAGGGAAAGCAGCGTTCCCTGATAGCACAGCTCAGGGGAGTCCCTCGCTAAGAAAGAAGTCTCCATTCTAAGTCTGCCTTCTCTGACCTTGCGCTGTGTCCCCTCCATATCATTCATTCTCCCCTTGTCTTTGACTCAGCCAGCCTGATGTGTTCACATAGGTTGCCTGGGTGAAATGACCAGGAGGCAATGGAGCCTGTTACCCCATGGGTCAATAAGGAGGGCTTGCGTTGTAGCTCTCATGCATGTAATTGCTCTTAATGTGCAATTGTCTCTCCAGACCAGAATCATCCTCCTGAACTGGTGTGCGTGGTTCCTGCGCATGAAGAGGCCTGGGGAGGACAAGGTGCGGCCCGCCTGCCAGCACAAGCAGCGTCGCTGCAGCCTGGCCAGCGTGGAGCTGAGCGCAGGAGTCGGGCCGCCAGCACCCAATGGGAACCTGCTCTACATTGGTTTCCGAGGCCTGGATGGCATGCACTGTGCCCCTACCCCTGACTCCGGGGTGGTGTGTGGCCGTCTAGCCTGCTCCCCGACACATGATGAGCACCTGCTACATGGTGGGCAGCCCTCTGAGGGGGACCCAGACCTGGCCAAGATCCTGGAGGAGGTGCGCTACATCGCTAACCGCTTCCGCTGTCAGGACGAGAGCGAGGCGGTGTGCAGCGAGTGGAAGTTTGCCGCCTGTGTGGTGGACCGCCTGTGCCTCATGGCCTTCTCCGTCTTCACCATCATCTGCACCATCGGCATCCTCATGTCCGCCCCCAACTTTGTCGAGGCTGTGTCCAAAGACTTCGCGTAATGTCACATGGTTCTGTACAGGAACAAAATGTACAAAAGGACAGTCACTGGCTCGGTGAGACTTCAGGGTGCTAATTCATGGAAGCATTCAGTGTGACTGCTCTGATCCTCCTGAATGGTAGTTATGTTGCTTGTGATTGCCTTGTTAGTTTCAGTAACCGAATCCCAGCACCTGTCGTTTGAAACCTTCTGATGAGCTGACGTACCCTTGATGTATCCTGACTCACAGGGTCACTAAGCGTTCTGCCCATTTCCTGGGGAGCTGCTTCTAGAGTCCTGGAGAATTCTGGATCACTGGGCAGAGCCTGTGCGGTCAGTTCTGCATGCGTGCATGTCATCTGGCAGGAAGGAAACGCTTTTGCTTATGGACAGACCTAGACTGAAGCTAGTAAAAATAAGCCAAACTCAGTAATTCCACTATGATTAGTGAGAGCAAACCAAACCAAACCAAACAGTAGACTCTTGAACTAAAACCGTATCTGCTGATTTTCCTTTGATTCACACTTTTCCTCTTCACCAGAGACATGTGACAGAAATAACTTGATGCTATTATTCTGCCCTGAAAACAAATAATGAAAGCAGAGATATGGTTGATCTCTCGAAATCTGTTTTCACCAGCCTAATTTCTGCAAACTTTTTTTCTGGGAAGGGGATCAGATGGATAGATATGAGTCAGTTCCAAACTGCTCAGACCCAGTGGGACAGAGCTGTGTCGCTTGTCGATATCAGAGGACCCCCGAGCTTCACACTCTGTCCTTTGCCCTGACTTGAGTTGAGTGAGTCTATTATGTTCTGCAAAAATCACAGGATGGCTAGTTCCCCACCTGAATGACTAGCTGAAGCTAACGCGAACCATGCCTGTGTTCTTTTGAAAGCAGGAACACATTAGATGCTTCAAATGTATTGGTGTTGATTCTTCTTAAAAGTATGTTCATCTGAGCCCAACGCAGTAGCCTAGTAGCTAAAGTCCTCGCCTTGCACACACCGGGATCCCATATGGGCGCCAGTTCTAATTCTGGCAGCTCCACTTCCCATCCAGATCCCTGCTTGTGGCCTGGGAGGGCAGTGGAGGACAGCCCAAAGCCTTGGGACCCTGCACCCGTGGGGGAGACCCAGAAGAGGCTCCAGGCTCCTGACTTTGGATTGGCAAGCTCCAGCCGTTGTAGCCACTTGGGGAGTGAATCATCGGACAGAAGATCTTCCTCTCTGTTTCTCCTCTGCATATGTGACTTTCCAATAAAAATAATATAAATCTTTTAAAAATATGTACATCCACACAAATGCACAACATGAAGTGGAAGTATCCCTTGCTTGATTCTTTCCTCCAAGTGTGGACCAGAGTGTGGAGGCTGGCCCCAGGTGTGACAGGAGCTGGGGAGCAGAGACTGTGAGAAGTGTCTTTGTTGGATGCCCAGCCAGTGTAGTCAGCAGCTTGGCGCTGGGACAGCATCTGCAGTTGCACAGCCAGCTTCTGTGACTGCACGGTCAGCAACTCGGTTTTCTGGCGTTTGGGGTTCTGCCTCCCCTCGGTTTACCTGTCCTAGCTTGAGCACCACAAGCTGCCCCAGGTCAGTCAGTGGGTTCACTGCATACGTGTGTCTTGGAAACAAGAATAATTTGAAATTTTAAACCTAAGTGGTAGTGTTGCTTCATTTAGATTATCTAGCTTACAATATTATCAGAATTTTAGATGAGATCAGAGGTTAATTGACCAAGAAAAAACTTCTCCTGTTCTAATATATCATCCGGTAACAGTTCACAGCTCAAAGTCACAGAAACCTTCCAAACTCCTAGAGAACTTTGATTTACTTCTAATTCCCAAGATGGACACATCGCGCAAGAGTATTAAGTTTTCAGAGCAAAATAAATTGCATTTATCTTTCCAGCCATCCGTTTCACTCTTTTTTTTTTTTTGGTAATGCACATCAATTAGTTTGCCCTGGAGGAAAGAAGATGGGGCCTGTGTGCTGTGTATGTCCATGGGCACACGCACCTGTTCATGTGAGTTAAGAGAGGGCACCATGTTCACATGAAGAGGGCCGATGAATCAGGACCCTGCAGCATCAAGGCCTTTGGAGTAGGGTCATCTTCAAATTGGATTCACTCATTTTTTGTGCAATTGATGAGTGATGCACACTATTTTCTGAGTTTTCTTTTTCTATTAAAATGTCTTTAGAAACAAGGATGAGTGTTTTGACTTATAAAGAGAGTGCTACATTCTGATTGTCATCCCCAAATTGATCTCTACCGTACTTTTGCCGTAAAAGGAAAACCTTGGCTGTTTTGTATTTTCTGCCAAAATAAATAAATAAATAAAACCATCAAGAACAAATAATAGTAGCTCATGTTTTGACCACCTACATAGCTATTCTGTCACATATGAAAGTAACACGAAATAAGTGTGCACATAGTTTGAGTGTGGCTGGTTAAGAGCAGCCTTCCAGGGCATCACCATAAGGGTGCCATGCATGAGCAGTTAGGGTCCTTCTTGGAAAAGAAGAAAGGGCAGGGGCCTGCAGAGGGGGAGACACGAGTACAGACAAAGAGGATCCTCTTCCAGCCCTCATGCCGTGTGAAGCTGTCTTCACTTAGTGTTTTATCATTCCATGGTAATACATGAAGATCTACCTCATTCCTCTGAGTAGCTGCTTAGCGTTCCATTGACCAATGGACTGAAACTGCTTAGACTTTTACTGGTGAGCATAAAGTTATCCCCAGCTTTACTTTTATACAAAAAGCTATAATTATATCTTGGCACATTTTTGAACTGTACTGTGGTATAAATTCCAACTTAGGGATGGAATTGTGGTCTGTAAGACTTGGTGCACTTAACATTTTGATCGGTATTGACAGATTACTCTGCAGAAACTGATCCCTTGGGACCCCCACCAAACAAATAATGAAAGGAGTGACTCTAAGTTATAAAGCACGGGGTGTTTTCAAAGTTATTTTTTCAAATATGATCATTGAAAAATTGTATGATAATATTCTGATTCTAATTCAGTTTACTGTGGATGGTCTTGAGTACTTTTACAAGTGTTTATTTTTTTGAAAAATCAATTTTTTGTGAGTGTCTTTGGCACAGTTGTCAAGTTACTTGGCTTTTTCTTTATTAATTACTTCGGCATGTTGGGAATTTTCTGCCATGTCTAGGAAATATTTGTAATTTATTTTTTATGTTATTTTATGATTTATATATATTGTCATATGTGAGCTTTGAATTCTTATATCATTAAATTATCCATATTTTCCTTTGTACAACATGTATTTGTTTCTAGTTTTAAAAGGCCTTCTCCATTCTGAGACTATAAATAAACTTATTCATATTTTCTTCTAAAACTTTATGGTTTTATTTGTTAATCTTTACATCTCTTGAATCTCTGGAATTTACTTAGTGTAGCAATTGGAGGTACAGATTTTTTTTTTCTCCAAATAGTGGTCAGTTTCTCAACAAAATATAAAACAACTGTGGTTCTTTAATTCAGTGACAGTTTTTTTTCCCACTTGTTTAAAATGTTACCTTATGTATAAACTAAGTTTGAGTATTTGGGTCTATTTCTGTAACATTGATCTATCTAATGATACCTTTAATGTCTAAAGTTTTATTAACATTAAAATCAACTCAAGTCAAAACCTCCCTCTGCGCTCTCTCTCTCTCTCTCTCTCTCTCTCTCTCACACACACACACACACACACAAACACACGTATGCTGTCCCTCTCAAAACCTTAGCACATCTTCTCTTTAAAAAATGGGATATTAATGAATTTATAGTCTTCCTATTCAAGAGCATCTCAATCTAGGCTCATGTTCAAGAGTAATTTTATGTTTTGCAATAGAGTTTTATGGTTTTGTCCAGACAGATACTCTGAATTTCTTGTTGCTTACTTTATAGATTTTTTTTATTATTATTTGGCTTCCATTTGCAATGGAATGATCTCATTTCACTTTCCTCTTCAAAGTGTAGAAAAATGCTAGCTCATTCTCTTCTAATGTTCAAAACCAACCAGTATAATTATGATATTTATTTTTTAAAGATTTATTTATTTTTATTGAAAAGAAAGACTTATAGGGAGAAGGAAAGTTCTTCTATCCACTGGTTCACTCCCTAAATGGCTGCAACAGCTACAGCTGAGCCAGAGTGAAGCCAGGAGCCGGGAGCTTTTTCATGGTCTCCCATGTAGGCTTTTGGTCCCAAGACTGAAGGAAGCAGCCTCTGCTGCTTTCCTAGGCCATAAGCAGGGGTCAAGACGGGATATGGAGCAGCTGGAACACAAACCCTGCTCATATGGAATGTCAGCACTTGGTAGTGGAAGATTAGCCTGTTGAGCCACTGTGCTGGCCCCAATGATATCTGTCGTTTCAGATTTTCTTTTGACTCCTCCTTTCTAGTAGGGTCAGCCCTCTGTATACTTGAGTTCTCTGTCTGCAGATTCAACCTGTTATAGACCAAACATTTAAAAAACACATTACATTTATTCTGAACATGCACAAACTTCTTTCTTGTCATTGTTTCCTAGTAAATATAATATAGTCGCATTTTTTTTCTTGTTGAGGATGATTAGTAATCTAGAGATGATTTAAAGAATGTGCATAGGATTTTGTTTGAGGGACCAAAGCATCCCTAAATGTTGGTATCCACTGGGATCCTGGAACACACCCACCCCACATACATACACGCATACTGAGAAATATCTGGTTTCCCTTTTTTCTCTTATCCAGTTACATTTGAGGACAGTTTTTTTTCCTTTATTTTTGACATTCTTTACATAGTTAATTGCGGCACAAAGGTCCAAGGGCAACAGGAAAGTGGGTAAGACTATTGTTTCCACATTTTTTTCCTGTATCTGGGGTAAAGGGGGAGGTAAAGGAAGAAGCCCCACCCAGTCTCCCACCCATCCCAGGTCCCTGATGTGGGGCATGCTCTGAGGGTCTTGCTCAAGTGGTTTTGATAGTTCACCAGTTATGAATTGCTGCTGATCTCGCCATCCCAAGCACGATGAGGTCGCTGAAGCATCCACTGATTAACATAGTGCATCTTTGA